TTCTTTTCTCTGCTCTCTTTCTAGAGTCTCCACATCTTTTCTATATCATGACGACCAAAACTGAATGCAGCATTTCAAGTGTGGCCTTGCCAAGGCATTATAAAGTGGTATTAACACTTCATGTGATCTTGATTCTCTCCATGTTTATGTAGCCTAGAACTGTGCTGGCTTTTTTGGCAGCTGCTGCACACGGCTGGCTCCTATTTAAATGGTTGTCCACTAGGATTCCAAGATCCCTCACACAGTTACTACTATTGAGCAAGGTACCACCTATACTGTATCTGTGCATTTCGTTTTTGTTGCCTAAATGTAGAACCTTACTCTTTTCACCATTGAATTTCATTTTCACCATTGAATTTCATTTCATTGTGCTAGCAATGACTAGCACTGATGATGTTACCTACTTGGGGTGATGAAACACCAAGAGAACAACCAAGCTCAGACAGCACCAAGGACCCCTCAGAAAATTATCAGTCAAGTTTTGCTGAAACTGACACTCATGATAATTGATAGTTATGATGAGGTGACCTTTTGCCAGCCAACATCCATCCATCCATCTCTTCCTGTGCATTCATCATCTCATCCATCCATTATCTATCAATGTCTGTCTGTCTATCACTGTCTGTCTGTCTGTCTGTCTGTCTGTCTGTCTACCTTATCTATTTATCATTCATACACACACACACACACACACACACACACACACACACACACACACAAACATTGTCTTTGGTTATTCGGGTTTTCTCCTGCGTAAAATTGCCGACGTTTCGACAAAGTCTCATTCGTCATCTTCAGGCTGGTTTTCTCGGCTTCGTGCTTCCAGGAGCAATATGAGATTGCAGCTGTTTCTTCCTTTTAACTGCCAGTGGGAGTGTGTTTTTGTATATATATATTTGCTTTCGTAGATTTTAATGGGTGTAGGTATGCTAGTCTTGTTGTTTTAGAGCCTTTTCCCATGTAAGATTGAGATTTCGACGAGGTCTCACTCGCCATTTCAGGCTGGGTTTTGGGCTTAAAGCGTGGTCGGAGCTGCCGTCTTTCTATAAATCTTGGTGGGGGTGTGGAGTGCTGGCTTTGTTTCAGTAAGTGGAATGATTAGTTGTGTGGTTGTATCATGATTGGTAGATTAGTGCTGGCTTTATGTCTATCTATATATAAAACCATCATCTGTCTGTCTGTCTATCTATCTTCTATTATGAAATCATTAAAACTTTTAAACAAAAAGATAAAAACTAATGCAAGCCAATATAAAGAAATGAAGAATAAATAAAAAGAAAAGAAAGCAAAGAGTGCAAGAAAATAAATCAAGCTAAAGAAAAATAAAAAAGAAAGAAAAAAATGATATAAAACAGTGCCTTCCGATATTCTTCACAGCAAGTCATAAGTATGCCAGCTAACTTTTTTTTAAAAAGCCATTTCCAACTTCCAAGCACAGAAAACGCACAGCAGAGAAAATCTCTCTGTTAGGACAACTTTTGCCACACAAGTACTAAAAAGTTGAGACAATGCAGTGGAAGGTCTGCTTTTGCTGTGTGTGTGTGTGTGTGTTATACACACACAAATGGGCAGAGTGTCCCATTGTGGCCCTCCTGACATTTTTGGCCAGATTCTGGGGGGACACCTCTCGAAACTCTGCAGGTTTATTTATTAGATTTCTATAGCCGTCCAAGTCAACAAGCAACTTGTAGGTTCAGTGCATCATGAACTGATCTCAGTGGTGATGAGCAGACATTTTGCCCGAGATTGCCAGCCATCGTATGATCCATTATCCCAACCTTATTTTCCCCCAGCTTCCAGACTGCAAGAGTTGAGCAGTTGAGAAGTTGGAATTAAAATGGGCTGGGCTCACTCCAGCTCCTTCGCAGCTGTTCAGTGAAAAATGCATAATGTAATTTGCAAGCGTTACACCCTGTTGTAGGATAATTGTTGCTGAGTGCTGGGAGGTGGCAGGGAGTAGCATTAATCTGAATATATAAAGAAATAAAATAAACCAGGCTATTCAGAGTGATTCAAAAGCAGTATTCCACGATAACACCTCTTTAAAACAGCCACATTTTCCCCACCCACAGGCTCCTGAAAAATGAGAACCTGAGGACAGACACGGCTGCTTTAATAGTCAATTTATTGAAGTAGCTGTGCATTTACAGTAATGTAAGGTTAAATGCTTAACGATGGCTAAACACAATCTCTTTGTTAAGGGATGGCTGAGGTCTCTTTGTCAGGTTTGGCAAGAATGAAAAAAAAGTGAGTGGAGGGGGGACCTTTTTATTCATGGATTTGTAAAATTTATTGGCTACCCTGCTTGCCACAGGATAACTGGTATAGTTCATGCAATCTCAAGATTGTATGAACTATACCAAACCTAAAAGACACAAGTAAAACATTATAAAGACCCAAATGCTGCATCCCAGCTAAAAGATGGGAAGGGAGGTAGTTGTCAAGCCTGCAGCTGGTTCCTTTTAGGATCTTTGGCCTGCCACACTCTCTATTAGTTTACTGTTGTGGCCCGGCAGGAGCCGTTGGAGCTGCCACCAAACTCCGACAGTGAGGGGCCTTATGAGTCGGCCCTGGAGGATGTGGAGGACCCTGGACAGGGTTCCAACTCCGAGCAGGGCACAGAGAGACTGGTTGGTCACCAGGTGGTGTCGGAGCCTTGGATCAGTGGGGAGGAGACAAGAGAGAATGATCCAGAAACCACCTGTGAGTTGTTCCGGGATGCATGCTGTCAAAGGGCTACTCAGCGTCAAGAACGACGTAATTACAGGAGGTAATTACGCTCAGCTGATGCTCATTAAGATCCTCTCCTGATTATAAAAGGGACTG